CAGAAGCATTTGGGTTTTCCTTATTCTGCTTTATGGTAAAGCTCATTCTACTAAATCTCCTTCATTCCTCAGCTGAGGACACCAACATGGCACACTGGGACAGGATTGCCAGACTAAGGCAGTTCTTGTAGCTGTGGTAAACAATGGGTGGAAAGTAGCACTTTGTCCAAAATCCAGAGGAGGATTAGGGACAGTTCCTGTCCACACGTCCTCACTATTACAGATAAGTGAGAAACCTCAGTTCTAACTTGCATCTGATTACAAACACTGTCTGACTGTTGCCTGGAGTGTACCGGCGTGCCAGGGTGTGAAGAGCAGACCCTGGAGAGAGGCAAAGATGATGAAGCCATGTCACTTGTGAGTTGAGTCAGACTGGAGTTAATGGTCCAGAGATGAAGAGCTAACACATTTCCTCACTACGCCATCATCAACTTTTTATTTTGTTTTGAAATTACTTATCACATAAAGCAGTGACAGAAAAGGGTTAAGGCGTTAAAAAAAAAATTAAAAATCAAAATGATTTATATGTGAAACACTTCTGAACATGCCCTCTAAGTACAGTAGATTTTCCCCTTGGAACCACACCCTGTAAGTGCTGTATTTTGAGAGCTGAACAATTAACATAAGGCATATGAGTCAGTCTTTGAAAGACTCTGTGGGAACCAGAGAGCCTTTTGCTATTAGGAGTGATGTAAACTCCCTAAGGCTGGAATAAGTCCACAATAGAAGGCAGAGAGAGTCATAAATAACAACAATGGGCACTCCATATACTACTAAGATGCTCAGACATTATTGGCGATACTTCCTTTATTTTCTTTATTAGACTTAATAATTTTAGTTAATTAAAAAAAAAATCAAAACACTGTCTGTTTTGGGAATACTATTTATTTCCTATGGGAACTTCAGGACTTGTTAAAGAAAGAAAAAAAGCTAATCTGCTCTCATCCTGTCTAGTAATCCCAAATTCCTTTTAGGCAGTGAAATAATTAAAGAAAAATATTCCAGGCATAAAAAAGAGGACAGCAGAAGCAGACATCGTATAAAAAATGACACCACGACAGAGAAAAACGTCAAAGCACCGCCAGACTTGTGACTTGACTCTGAAAGAGCTGCAGGGAGTGGGATTGCTGCGAACAAATTAAAACCACATTTCTTGGCAAATTGTTAAAGACAGACATATTTACATTTGTATAGAGACTGGGTGGGCACAAAAGATTAAAATGCTTCTTTAGCCCTTGAACTGCCAAGTTCTATTAGAAATATGTGCTCTTAAAATCCTAGGGTAAGCTCACTCATGTTTGTCACTAAAACTCAGCAAAGAATGGCCCGAAGAAATGAAGCTTACCAAGTCTGCTCTACCTGCTCGTAACAGTGGCCCCTCAAAACCTGATTTTAAGATCCTTAGTACTTATCTAAAGACATGTCTAGGACAAAAACTTTATTAAGACCTACCAAGAAACATGACTGTTAGGCACAAAATATACTTGCTTTAAGGCTTATCAAATTGAACATTCATTCTTTTACTATCTTACTCAACTTACTATCTCACTCAAAATGAAAAAGAAAGCCTCAAAAAATCTAAAAGTGGTGACTGCCATCTCTGGGACAGCTGAATTCAGCAATACAGCATTAAATACCTGTAAAAGAACTTACTCATGGATGTGTACTTGTGAAGAATCTTTACAACTCATCATCCTGAAGAAGAGTTAAAGGTTTGGCCTTTTCAGCCTGACAATAATACTCATACAAATATTGATTTTTTTTTTATTTTTTAAATTTTTTTCAGTCTAGGGTTTGGGATGCTGGGCGGAAAGAAAAATTTCCAATGTGAACAATGCTGCCCCCTTTCCTGTCTCTCCTTTGCTTTCATACTTTCTAGTTGTCTCTTACTATGCTCAGGGTAACAGTTGTACATGCTTATGTACCAATAAAGTAACACCAAGGAATAATTAAATTTCATGTCTGGTTAACAACAAAAACCCCCCACAATAAAAACCACACATTGTTTGTGAAATGCATTTATCAATGTGGTCCAACTTGCTCATCAAAAAATACTTAATAGAAAACATCAGTGGGTTCAACAAATCAAATTTAGTATCAGAGTGCCATATGGGAGGGGACTCTTGAAAAGAATAATGTAGAAAAAGCAATGAAATAAAGTATTATGCCAGGCATAGACAAGTGAATAACATCAAAATTAGTGAAAGGACTCAGAAACAGTTATTTAGGGGAGGTTGCAATTGCATGATTCCTCGTAATGTCACTCTAAGCAGTATCACGAGCTCAGCCATCTAAGATAAACTTTAGGTCTCAGAGCTGTTCTAACAGATGACTGGCAGATCAGAGAGGTCATACAGGGCTCTTTCCAATCTGATAAACAGAAAAGGGCCCCTAAAGCAAGTGAAGAGGCTTGTCAGTGAATGACAAATCAGATACTATCACCTAACTGATGGAAAATTGACAGAGACAGGACTTTAGGTCTAGTCTTCTGCCCTCTCCCATCTCAAATGATGGAAAAGCTTCCCACAATTTCACAATGCAAATTTTTCAGCTTTTCCAATGTAGTGATGCATCTGTCCTAGCAATTCTACTTATGAACTCCCACCACATCATAAAACATCCACAGAAGTTTTCCAAGTAGAGAAATGGATACTGTTCTCAAACTGAAATACAGTTCCTTGATTGGACTTGTGGAATATTGCTCTACATTTTAAAATTAACTGTCCTGCTCTGTATGTCAGTAAGTTCCAGTAAAAAATATTAAGGATTATTTCACGTTACACATGGGAGAACTGATTTTTCATTTTAAATAGGCATTTTTAAGGAATGCTGATGGGTTTAAAAAATACATTCTTTTTAAGATTGAAATTGGAGAAACAACCAGAGAAAACTGCATCTCTCTGGTGAGGAGAAGAACTATATGACCTACCCGTGGCCTATCACAGAAAGCAAAATAACTCCTGGATCAGTAGAGTCTTCATTATCTACTACCAAAATTCATTTTGATTTGACATCATAGAACTTAACTATTAATTTTTCGCTTGTCAAGAATCCCTGTGGTCTGTACTATTTAGTCCAAGAGTTGTCTCAATCTGTTAGCAGCCCCTGTGATACACATTCCACTTTCTCAAAATACAAGGTGTGAATCCAAGTTTCTCACTCGATACATAAGTCCTGGCAATTTCAAACACTCCAAAGGTCCCCAAAGCATCATCAGGTTAGCTTAAAGCATATGACTTCTATGAGGAAAATGCCACCTTACTTGTTTGGAATTTAACATATTTTACATATAGCAGCAATC